GTGTTTGGCCTCTAAAGAGATCGCCGTGTTGCAACAAACGCCTTATTCGTCCGATATGTCACCCTGTGACTTTTTTTGTTCCCTAGAACAAAGGAACTCATTTTGAGTAGATTTAGAACATTCAGGCGACCGTGACGAGAGTATTCGTGGACATCCCAGTCGAAGCGTTTCAGAAATGTAACGAAGCATGGAAAACGCGCTGGAGTCGTTGTATGGCTACACAAGGGCACTACTTTGTAGGGGATGGCAGTGTTGTATTATAATTTTGAAATATACGGTTTTTAGGGAATCAGTCTCATTACTTAATTGTCACACCTCGTATACAAATTACCTATGTAAATACATATGTACATACATCCATATGTACTCGTTATCGTTTCTTCCAGCACTTAATTTAATAATTATCAGAGCCAATATAAGCAAATTAGCAACAAATATATGAAAATATATTTTGACACCTACTTAAACTTACTAGTAAATCATGACGGACCCTCAAAATTAATTTTTATCTTAAAAAATAAATGATAGGGCGAGGTTTATTTTTTGCGTCAAAAAAACGTATCTTCAATTATTTAAATAAAATATTTGGCACTGAAAGATTACACACAACATGCATATAAATACATATACATATATGTTCTAGGTATACGAAAACAGCTCGAAATATTTAAAATCTACTAAAAATGCAAGAGGAATTGTTAATATAATGTATATATTTGAAATATTTACTAATTTAAGAATTTCTCATTCTATTTGTTGTGTTCATTTACAATGTCAAACCAGTTTGATTGTCAGTATTTGCTTGTCCTCCAGTATTCTACGCGTTTAAGTTTTTGGAAAAAATTCACGGCATTCAGGCGAACGTAAACGTAATAAAAGAAATTGTAAACCATATATGAAATTGTATATATAATGCGGCTACTACTTTCAAGGCGACAAGAAATTTTTTTCATTTTTTGGTTTTTAATTTTTGCAAATTTTTTTATGGTATATTTTTTGCCTATCGCAGTTTCTTCTCCTGCAAACAAGTGGTGCTCCCGTTGTTTGTGACCACACATTTTCGGAATGCGACTATACTAAATTACAACAACTCTTATGTGTGCTGTTTTTGTGCTGTCGTTTTTTTTTTTTTTTTTTTTTTTTTTTTTTTTTTTGGAGGTTGTCTCATTCTTGATCGCTTTCTTTCGAAATCTCAAATCACTAGTGTACCAGCAGTGTATTTAAATTTTGCTTTCATATCGGATTTCGACATGTTTTCCCCTAATATTTCATTCATGCGAAAGCAGATACCGTTGGCTCAGTGCAGCCGCTCGTTTCGATCGGTACCCCAGCTTAGTTGTAACACTAGTAATATTAACAAAATATGGAACCTGAGTAGGGCGGATGTTCTTTCAGTGATTTGTGCACACAAAGATAATTGAGCTTCTGAAGCATCAGCGAATTCTTGTCGAAAGCCTCCAGACGCCCAGCTACTAATGTATGTTCGTACATACAATACATACTCGTATATTTGTAGCTTAACAGCTTAAATATCGGCTGTGCTTCAGTTTTCGCCTTTGTCTTAGCGTTTTTATTTTTATTTTTAAATCATATCCGAAATTTCTCAAAATTAAATATTAAAGTGAGAACTATATTTTGGTGAATTTCAAAATTTCCCCCTCTACAGTTCGATTAGATTTATGCAGTGGGCTTATCACAATGCGATATTTATTGTTGTTGTTTTTGTTGTTGTTTTGCGCTCAAAGGCGTTTGTTATGGTTTTTTCACCAATTGATTGCTTATCATTTCTGTTAAAAAAGTTATCAGCTGCAGTATGTTTGTATAAAATTCTTTGTATTTATGATTCACGAATTCCAGTTATAACAACAATTCGGTACTTAAAATTCGGCTTTATTCATGTAAGCTTTTTATACCTTTCATGTACATGAAATGACATATTTACTATGATACTTTTGTCCGAAGTATGTATGCATGTAAGTACCAGAAGAAGAAGAGTTAAACCCATCAAGCTTATACCGATCGAGACAGAATAACGACACACATATTTATATAAGTGAACACTGCCACCGAAAATCATCAAAATCAGAAGACTTTATAACATAGCTCGCTTGAACTACAATAATTTTGCAAATATGAAAATTAATTAATTTAATCCTCAAATAAAATATCATAATCTTTAATCCATGGGTGGAGTAGTTATTTTTAAGAAAGAATAAGAAATTACCTAAATTTGACATGATTTACATAAATGAGTTTATGATTCACATGAATTAACAGGTATATGTATATGCATGTATGTACATATATACGTGTATGTATGTATAAACCTAGACGATTTTATTATTTCATTTGCCCGTGCCCTACTCATCGCACCTTTCGTCTGGTTATAAACGCCTTCCACTAATTTTACAATTTATTTCAAATTCTTCCTGTCACACGCTACTCACTATCTATTTTTATACTAAATATACGTACATGTATACATACTACAAATTTATGTTGAATTTAAAAAAATAAAATTTGTTTTTGTTATTAATTTCTTAGCTTTGCAAATTTTTTCAGCGATTAAGCTTAGCCAGTATGATGTGTACAAACATAACTACATGGTAGTCTCTTGTCTTTTCATTATTTGTCTATTCTTTATTGAATTTTTGATGTCTTCTTTGTTATTCTTCTTGTTTGTTAAGCAAGATGTCAATAAACTCGATTTGTACAAAAAATATGCTTATAGTTAGTGGTGGGGAGAGACCACAAAAACAACAAAAATATCGTAGAAAAATATGTACATATATGAGCACAACAACAAATTAGCGCTTTTATCGAATGTAACGTTATTTTTAAAACCCAAGCCAAAGTGAGCAACAACAACGTGTAAATAATTTCATACATACCTATCAACATACATACATTTGTGCATATGTACCTATGTATATACACGTACATACGTTCATAGTTAAGCCAGCATAGTACGTACGGCGTCAGTTTAGCAACAGCTGTGTGGGGAAGTGGATATAAAAAAGTAATAAAAAAAAAATTAGAATAATCGGTAAGCGATAAAAAAAATAAGCATGTGTGTTTTGATGTCACACACTTTCGTTTTATGTAGCTACATATTTATTGAAAAGACGAATGTGCAGGAAAATTGTTGAACTTTGGTTTTTAGCTTTTTTTTTAAATAACTTTTGTGGTTCTTTTTTCCAATTTTGCGCATAAGCTCTAATGAAAATGACATAGTTCTTGCGCAAATTATCAAAAACTTTTATTTAGTTCTCATAAGAAATTCCTAAAGTAGTGAGTCGAACTTCAGCTTAACCTCTATTAAATATTAATTCAAAATCCATTTCAACTACCGGTTTAACTGCAAACAAACAACGAGCTCCCAAACATGTCATTCCTAGTTCAGCAATACGTATAACATTTTAATTTTATTATTTTTTGAGAATTTTCAATTTTTTATACCCACTCTTAGTCGTATGAGGGCACAGAGGGCGCAGAATTTTCATGCTTTCCTTCCTGCTAATTAACATGCGAACGATAGCATTTGAATGCTTTCCTTCCCCACCTCCACCTCGTTTACTCACTAGTTCTAGTCTATACATACGTGTATATACTTGTGGATGTTTTTATATAATTTTACTTACCCCATACATTACTCACTTCCCATTCTCCTACAAGCGTCTGCCTGGTCGAGTTGGCTGACCTCTGGGACTCGTAAAAAGTGGAGTAATTGTATAATATTTTAAAACCAATTTCTGTTTACTTCTGCTCGCTTGCTGTCTTATACTATTTATATAAGTATATATGTATGTATATATATGTATGAAAACTTTCATCTTCCACTTGCCTCTACCCTGTGCTGGTATGAGTATGAGCATAGCCTTGGTTTCTGCAAATTCTCATCGTTAAACGGCCGTTGTGGCTTTTCTGCTTTCCAAGTGCGAACGCATATTCCATATTCTATTGTATATTTTTATTCTATTTATTTCATTCCACTTTCGGCTTATAAATTCTAGTATGTTGCAGATATGGCTATGCAACGATAAGAGAATAGACGAAGCGTGTAAATAAATTAATTTCAAAAGGAAATTAAAATAAATATGCATATGAGTAATATAAAGTACCGTTACTGAAATAAAAAAAGATCTGTTGTCTATGTTAATTGCCATTTGACATTTAAAATATTTGCGCATTAAACGCATTCGAAAAATCGAAAAATTTTATCAATTCAAGAAAAATACCCAAAACTTAATTTTCAACCAAATAAACTTATACTTAACCCATAAGTCGTCTCTGAATGTACGCTGGATTTGTATGAGGAGCTTCACCGCTCGGTTAATAAAGCTTGTAAAACTTGCAAAAAATTAAAAAAAAAAGTTAAATAATTTTTTAATGTGATATCAGGACTATCAAGCATTTTTTCGTAATTTGTGTATTATTTTAGATTATAAAAGTTTATATTCCTGAAAATGGCACCTCTCATCGTGAATCTCTGTCTCATACACTTCAGAAATACCAGCCTTCCAGGCCAGCGACTGGCCTTTTTGCAGTAATCGTATTTATCGTATTTTCGATTCTATCATAGAAAAATAAAAAATATTCAATTCATACAAACAAAGAGGCCTTTAGATCACCAAAAAATTATACCTGAAATTATTTTCCTTCAATAAAATGGACCGGTCCATTTAAGAAAAAATGAAAAATTATTTATAGTTCGATTTGATTAAATTTTTGGATGAACGTCTAAATGGAATATTTTGTTTCCCGCAAATCACCAGGAGCCAGGAACCAAGTGGGATTTATGATGCGCTTAAGTCAAAAGTCATCCTTAAGGAGAAATGTTTTTTAGTTCCATAAAAGTTTGATTAATTAAATGATTATTTAATTAAGTTCGATCTGAACTATATGCATTTGTATGTAGTACTTTTGTCACATATATTATTATAATTGGATTTTCAATCATTACTAATTATACTTTATTTGTTTTTCTTGTTCACTTTCAGATGCAAAGAATCCTTAGGTGCTAATTTAGTAAATAAGAAAATTTTAAGTACAATAAAAAAGTTATCAACCGCAACTACAGCAACAACTACAATACAACTAGCATACAACTCAACAACAATAAATACTACAACAAAGAATAAATAGATGAAAAAAGGTTTTTAATTAGAAATCAAATAAAATTCGAAGCTCTCTTTATTCTCACGTCACCAGCAAAATGAAATAATGAACAAAGGTGACTAAAATAAGCGGAAATAGTGAGACTAAGCAAAGAAAGTGCCAGAGCGATGCGTTTTGAGCAATACAATTATAAAAACAAAAGACAAAACCAAGTATTGAGCACTAAACGGATAAAGTAGAAGCTGAGTGTGGAAAAAAAACAACAACAATACATACGTACATACTTACATACTTACATACAAAAAGCCAACAAAGCCAAAATAAGCAAAGAAGACGCAGGTAAAAGTAGAAGCAAGAAAGAGCACATTAGCTGGGAAAAGTGAATATCACGTTTAATATACATAAATAATCTACATACACACACATATATACATATTATATATTTTTATAAGTAAAGAATTTCTAAAACTAAGCAAAGCCGCAAAGCAGCAAAGGAGAAAAGTGGAAATATAATTCTAGTTTAAAACTAATGTCTAGTTTCGGGCGTAACTGCGACACTGGGAACCAGCAAACAAGTCCAATAGTCACCATATAATTAGCTAACGGTAATCAAAAGAGTTCTGTCTTGTTACAAAAGTTTCTACGCACAAAATCATTTGTATTTGCTAAAATTTCTGTTGCTGAGTGCTATCGCTACAACTACACACACACACACACACACACACACAGAAATATAATTCACCTTCACGGGAACTGCGCAAAGATGCCAAAATATTTTATAGCTTCGGCAGCGAGAACCACGGCAGCAACAACGGCAGCAAGCACAGCTTACAACAGCAACGCAAACAACAACAACAACAGCAGCAGCAGCAACAACAACAATGGCCCAACGCAAATGGTTATCAAATCAGCTGTGCGGCAGCTCTCCTACGAGATGGTTAGCACGAGTGCCAACAACAACAACAACAACAATACAAAACGTAATTCCAATTCGGCATTTGTGTCATCATCCTCGTCGGGCTCGTCATCGCCAGTGTCGATGATGCTGCAAGTCGGCGAACACCATCAACGGCACGTAAAAACGCAAGTAATCAGTAGCGCCGCATCGGCACCTACCGCGACGCATCTGCTGGATCATGGTTATGGTGTGACGCTAAAACAGGCGCCATCAACATCCTCCGCTGCGGTGACGCCTAATTTTACCGGCAAGTACACATCGACGGTGGCGAGCAGGAATCCAGCTGATTCCACACCTCACATAACGGAGTACTACAAGGTGAGCATGCTTTGAATAAGACATACGATATATTAAGTTTGTGATTCATTTAACTAATTATTTTTTTTTTGCTATCTTCTCGCTTGTAGCAAGTGAAACGACGCAATCCTACATCTGTTGCCGAACAAAGTAGCCATCCAAAGAAGCAAGCTAAACATCAGTCCGCGTCCGATGATTTCACCAGCAATGTGATGGTGGTGCATGAGCCACCGCGTGCACATCAATTCCAACATAAATCCACAAAGCAACAAGTTTTGGTACGTAGTACCGGCCAAACGCAACGCAACATAGCCCTATCAGGCTCAGCGTCTTCGCTGCATTTCGCTGCGCCCTCACCGCAACCACAACGCCCGCCATCGTCCGCTTCATCGACTTCATCGTCGATTGCATACAAAGCGGGTACACCATCGTCAGTCTCTTCAATGCCCGCCTCGAAGCGTACGCCGGAAGGTAATCGCGCCGACACTTCACTTGGCATTTTGACGAAAAAATTCGTCGATTTGCTGCAAGGCTCTCCCGATGGTGTTGTTGACCTCAATGATGCGTCCGCCAAATTATTGGTACAAAAGCGACGTATCTACGACATTACCAACGTGCTGGAGGGTATCGGCATACTGGAGAAGAAGTCAAAAAACAACATACAGTGGAAATGCGGCAACTCGCTGGTGAGTTCGAATCGTGCGCGAGATATGCAACTGGAGAATGAAAGACTCGAACAAAAGGAAAATCAGTTGAACATGTTGATCGACCAGATACGTGAAGAACTGAGCGATGAGATTTCGAATAACAATCAACTGGCGTATGTGACGCATACTGATTTGAAAAGTGTCGATCTGTTTAAAGATCAAATAATAATTGTAATTAAGGCGCCGCCAGAAGCCAAACTTGTGGTAAGTATTATTATAGTTCATTAACGACATTTAATCAATAAAAATTTTCTGGATGGGACGCATATTCCTGCCAGTATTGATGTGGTCGGACGAGAGTTTTATTAGACGACATTCATGATGTCTACTTGAATCTCCAATTTTTTAATAATGTTAAGTGCTTTAATGCATTTTTTCACTTGATTTGTTCTTTTAATTTGTTTAATGTTTAAACCTGATTTTTTCTCACAACTCATAACTCAAGTTATTTAGTAATCATTTTGTAATATTTCTGTTGAATATAACGTATACGCCCAGGTGATCAAACCAGTAGCAATCGTCAGCTTGTTTCTTGCATACCAGTGTACCCTGACGAAAACACAAGCACACTTATATAATGTAAATTTAATTAAAATTATTACTAGGGCAGCTCGAATACCAGTAAAAGAGGTCATTATATTATATATTGTGTATTTGTTAGAAATAAAAGTTACTTATACGCCTAGTCGGCTAATTTTCGGATAAAGCATAGCGTGAAAGCCTCTAAATGCTTATAAATACAAAGATTTTTCCAAACGTTGATTACATATTTCCCCCTTTAAATAAAAAGCTACCAATTAATGATTTTCATCCAAAAAAAAAAAAATGTACGTAAGTGAGCAGAAACGGAATGATTTTATTGACAGAGAAATGTTTTTATTTGTTGCAGTTTCAAAGCAAAACACATTCGCTGAAGACGCAATTTTATTGTCTGCATTCCTTTCGCATCTCAAAATGCAATTAATTTGAAATGTTCTTACCTTCTTGTGTATTAGGCATTGATTTTAGAAATTAAATTGAATTAATTTCACACAAAAGAGTTTGCTGGCAAAGGAAAACATAAGCGCAAATAGATGTCAGTCATACAATGCATTGTTGTCGCATGGCTAAGATTCCCGTTGCATGGCCGAAAGTAGCAAGAGAAGCGAATAAAATACAAATCGAATAACGAAGCGAAGAATCAACGATTCAGCAAAAGAGAGTGCGTATAGAAACGAAATAAGACATGTCATTTCTAAAAATACACCAACAAGCTCGTAGTCGCGCATATACATACATATGTATGTATTTGTAAATTTAAATGTATTTATAATATAAACTTTTCGATTTTAGACAACTTTGACTTGTCCTAAGAAATTTATTGATAAAACCATCATGCGAAAACTACAACTTTCGAAAATAAATAAATGGTTTGTTAATGTTTCTTAATTTATTTTAAACTTTTTTTTTAAGTTAAATAAGGTTGCATTCATAATTTTATAATCTCGAGATTTTCGAAAATGAAGTAAGTTGTTTCTAAAACAAGTACACAAACCTCCAAGAAAACAAACATATGTATTATTGTATATGCATATATAAATGTATGTATCTACGTACATATTTACGTCTGCTTATATCTTTTTATAGATCGCAAATCGTTTAGTTGTTATTTCAGCTACTCTCTGTCGGTTAAATGGTCAAAAGGGATATTTTTTATTGGTATGCGTCGAAGAGGGAACGTCTGCACACATTGATAATTGCAGAGACGGTTGTGCCCGAAAATGTTAGGGGATCAAAATTGAAATTTTCGAGTTAACAGTTGTTTCCTCCTCCTCCTCAGAGTTTATATGGCTCGCCTGTTGCATTAGAATCCATGGCTTTATCTCCTTTAGACTCAACGATATATACATATATTTAAAAGATATTTGAAAAATCTCTTAGTCTACGCTTTATTCAATTTTTGGGCTGTGCTTTTAAAGAGTTTTCAATATGAAAACATGCAAAATTACTCATACGCCAGGGCACTACAACGCGGTAAGCCCTGATAGTGTAAGTTTTATGGCAAATAAATATAAAGGTTAATTCCTTCACAAAATAAGTTTTTACAAGAATTTCAAAAGAATATTATTTGCAATTTAATTATTTTCGAATAATTATTTCGGCTCCACCACTGTCTTTTGCTCACACGACGCTTCTCGAACGTCGAGCGTCATATGGCTTGGCGTCGGCCGTATTTCATTCGCCCAAAAGTGTACGCATCTAGGAATATTTATACATATGAATGTAGATAGGTATGTCTGCATGCGCCAAAGCAGGCAGTCAATATAATAAGAAGCAGCGGCGAATGTCCGCATTCAAATGCTCATTTAGAGACGTGCTAAAATTCGCGCGTGTAGACTTGAATTAGTCGCCGGCTATTTTCATACACATCACTTCATTTTGTTACGGGCTGTCGTTCGTGAAGTAAATCACTGGAAGGTGGAGGCTGCTATAAATACAAATAAATATTAATTATATATGTGCGTATGCATATGTACATCTTATTGTTCTTTTAACATCAATTACTCAAACTTTCTTCTTTTCTTTTCTTTACAGTTACCTGACACACTTTGTCCACGCGAGATCTACGTTAAGGCGGAGAATAATGGTGAAATTAATGTATTTCTCTGTCACGACAACTCGCCGGAAAACTCACCGGAAAATTCGCGCATATTCTCTTCGCCCGCCGCACCGCCATACCGTCAGCAAACACATCAATTCAACGATCCACTGTTCAATGATATCAGTCGGTTGACACCAAGTCTTGATGACGACAAACGTATGCGCCTAGGTAACCTACAATCACATTTATTGTTCAGCTTGCAGTATTTTTTATTGACTTCCTTTTCTTTTACACAATAAACACTACTCTGTCGCTCGCACTCGCACTCGCTTCACACAACAGGTCTACCCCCACTGTCGGCATCAAACACAGCTTCGTCCACGTCTACGGGTAGTACATATCCCGACGGTGTCGCACCCATTGTACGTTCAGCACAACGAAATCTCAGCAAATCGATTGAGGATGCCGCACGTCAAACCGCTGCTGGTCCGGCTAATGGCACTGGTGTCGATGGATCAACCGATTATAATTGTGATATCGTTGGCAGCTACCATGCACATCAACAACAGCAAGAGTCTAGCGGCAATACGACTGCACACGATGGTAGCGAATACAATATACAGCCGACTTTAACGCGACCAGTATTGACGCAAGCTGAGGCTGAACGCATTTACGAACAAGATTTCGATTGTGAAATGTTTGGCAGGCGCAAGCTGGCCGCTGCTGTTTACGATGATAGCGAAAGTCAGCAACAACAACAACAACAACAGCAGCAGCAGCAGCAGCAGCATGAACAGCAACACAGTAGTGATTTAACAAACCATACGCTTAATAGTTGTAGTAACAATAGGAAGGCAGGTCTTAAAAACGATGTATCCATGGTGAATAGTGCAATGGAAGAGCATAAAACAGTGTCTGAGGCATCATCGTCGGCAGCTGCGACAGCGACGGATGCTACATTGGCTTCATCGTCAACGTCGGCGTCGGCGTCGTCGTCGACTATAGCGAATAGTCGACGTGATGGAGTTGATGTTGTAGATGTTTCGTCAACGGTGGCATCATTGTCTTCGATGCCCATAACACACACGCCCTCAATGTTTGGTGGCGCCGGTAGCGCAGGCAACCATAGCCGACATTCCTCAAGCGATAGTGGTAGTCTTGGCCGCTTGGACTCACACTTATCGCATATGGTCGATTCGAATGGTAGCACAGGCGTCCGGAACGCGCTCATTTCGAACTCGTTTAACCTCTTGAGTCCCGGACCATTGCCAGGCGTGCAGAACTGTAAGCAAAATCTTCTTTTTATAGATTTCAATCACATGTTACTCAATAATATTATTATACTATGGTTTAGTGCCTTGATTTGCGACCTCAACTTCATTTGCCAAGAAATTTATAAAATATCTACATAAACACTGTTATTATTTACCATTATTAATTGCATTTATTTCAAAAATTACAATAGTGATTGTTCAACATTAATTTTTAACTCAGTCATACCTTGATAACTCTATCCACTTTTGGACTTTTCATTGTCTTTATGCACATATCAAAAAAAAAATATGTACCCAGCAAAAGTGTGGCAATCATCCTTCATGTGATCTACATACTCGTACACATACATTAATGCATTTGTGTCTAATAAACGTCTACACATGTACTCATATACATATGTGCATATGTATGGTTAGCATCATTCACGCATCAACGGGAAAAACTCTTGTCGAGAGCTCTGGCTGTGATTTGCGTTTTTACAATGAAAATTCCTTTCGCATCACAGTCTGAGTTCTTGCTGAGCGTTTTTTCACAATTCAACAACGAGCCTGAAATTTATGATAATCAACGATTGAAATACCAAAAGAATGAAAAATAATAATTGTAATATACATAAATTAATTGAAGTAATTGAGAGAAATAATATGCAAAATGTACAAGGTACACACATATACAACTACATATGATGCAAATGAAAATTTACAAGTCCAAATTAAAAGGACAAAATGAAATTTCGTGCTTCGCTGTATTCAGGAACTGCATATTAAACATCACAAAATAATAGAACATACAAAAGCGTCTAAAAAATAACATCATCACATATATAACTTAAAAATAGCACATAAAATATTTCAGCACGCACCACAAACATACACACTTAAATGTGTATTTGGAAACTTTTCAGTTGGTGATCATGCTCACTGCACAGCTTTGTTAAACATATATTCATTTTTGTTTTATTTTGTTAATTATACTTAATTTGATAGCAAAAAACGAGAAATCAGTCCAAAATTAATTTTTTTTTACAAACACCCCATTGCATAAAATACTTTCATCCCAACGGTGAACTCGACTTGCAGAAAATTTTAATTAAAAATGTAGATGATGTTTTTTCAAAATATGCATTTTTAGTTTGTTAATTATTAGTTAATTACGTGTTATTTTTTTTTAAATCAATATAATTTTTAACTAATCCGAAAAAAGAGGAAACTTACTTCGTATGTCAATCTTATCGATATACATACATATATCCTCCAAATAATTGTTTCGATTAAATAATTGCTTAAGTTTTTATAATCTTTTATTATTTTATTTTCAAATAAAAACGAAACTATTACTACTGCAATAAATGTATAACAGTCAATACTACAAACAACAACAAATTAAAATGAAACAACTAGTAAAAATAAAAATAAAAATAAAAATAAAAATATTGAGTTAAATTGAACTAAAAGGCAGTCTAGATATCAGTGTTTAAAAATTAAAACACCCGTTATGGTCAAAAATATGTTATACGCAAAAAAAAATTCATTTTGGAACTGAATTCTCGTGGTTCTGCACTGTGCATACCATGATTAGGTAAACGTATTGTAATCGAAATTTTGTAGCACCATGAGATTCAGCTCTGGCGTGAATTTCAAACCATATGGAATTCCACTACAACCAACACTTGGTGTTTCCTTTTAAACATATACACATATATATTGAATAAATTACAATTATAATGTTACTTTTAATAATTTGGAAGAAAATTAAGCAAACTCGCACTTTGACAATATTCAGTATGGAAGACAAAAAGCGTCAAAAATTATTCATTAGAAATCTCGTAAATCCTACTCACCAGATAAGAAATTAAAAATATATTAATATAAAAACTAATATGGTAATCGCATCTTCACGCAACATATATGTATTTACACATGGACATACATAGCTGTAACAAATTTTCATATTTATTATATTGTATAAATAGCATTTTAATTAACTTATGGCGTTTACTTCTTTCCTACTTTCATATATAAAATCCGTTAATGATTTTTGCTGCACCTCTGCCTCATCTCTCAATTTCTCTCGTAACAACACAGACTTGGATGATCTGCCACCGTTCCTACCCATCGAACCACCGCTCGATGTCGATTACAACTTTTCATTGGATCAAACGGAGGGTCTTATCGAGTTATTTAATGACTATACCTAAAATAGAAGAAACATTTTTAAATAGAAATAAAAGAACTTGAAAAGAATTATATAAAAAATATCCATAAGCAAATAAAAATAAATTCAATGTATGTATATGTGTAGTAATTATCACAACCACCAATAAAAATAAACTGAAAACAATTTAACAAATACATGCACATGTATATGTATGTATATTAAAAACTTCTGTATGCTACTGAATGGAAAACGAAGTATGTAATATTTTTATTATTATTATTATTATTATTAATTATTAATTTTTACTTATTAATACTAATTTAAATAGTTAGTATATATTTATCCTTTATATAAATACTTATAAACTTTATATTTATATGCATATATATATATATATATATATATATATTTATATAGATAATAAGACTTGTTAATACATACATACATACTGAGAACGGTAGTTAAAAATACAGCTACAAGCACCCGCGTCCCTAATTATAATTAAAATGTATGTATAATAATTTAGTGTTGGAAACAAAACAAAGTTTATAAGTAGGGCTTATTAAAGGGGACCCGTGGGTGCGCATCCAAATGTTTGATTGTTTTTTTTTTTATTAAAAACTAATTATTTCCTATGAGCATATACACACATATATATGCATACAAATTAAACTAGTTATTAATAATTAATAAACAACAATGAAAGAAATGCAAAATTTGCGCACACATACATATGTACACATAAGGCTACTTTTAAGGCCTAAATGAAAGAAAAGAAATTTAAAGGCAAAAAAAAAAAAGCAGCTGTGTAGAACTGTTATGTAAAAAGTAAAAAACTGAAGAAATTGAAAAATATAAAAACAAAAACCACGGTAATTTGGAATAGCGAGCGAAGTATAGATAAAAATTATATGTACAGAACTGCTAATAAAAAATAAAAAGTATAATCGAAAAATTAAATCAAACAATAGAAACGTTGTAAGCCAATAACGAAGAATGTGATGCCGCAAGTAAGAAAGAATCGACAAATTACCATCTACTTGAATACTTGAGAAAACGCATGTACATAGTTCTATTTGATTTACTTGAACATTGTAACTGAGTATTTAGTATGATTTTAATTTATGAAAATATAATTCAAATATTTTAGCCAACAAAACAGGATTCATAATTGTAATGTACAAGCAAACAATTTTTGCAAAGTAAACAATTTTTAGACATTGGTGAGCAGTGACTACGCTATAATTAATTCTATAATTACCTAATGTTAAATACGTAATTCGAAAAATGAACTTCTCAATGATGTTGCGAACTAAAAATACAGTTGTACAAATAATATAATATATAGACTACAGGCTTCGCACCCTTTGGTATCGCTTATATTTAACCATAAGAAGTTATGAAATGAATTTACTATATGAGCGCTCAAATATTTCATTAACAAGATTAGTCGCGGTGTAATAGTTACCTTAATGCCGACCGGAAACAATATTAATTTAATAATGTGTTTCATGAAAAACATTTGTTCGTTTGTTGTTCACCAAAGTTCACTTTATGTGGTTGAAAATTGTTTCAAAGTGGCTTAAAAACTCAAATATATGTATAATATTTACATTATATTCTACTGATTATTAGACTTCTGTTGAATGTATTTTTTACAAAAACAAAAACAATAATAAATAAAGCAATTGAAAACAAAGAAATCTGCATATAAAAAGTGTTAAACCATGGAAAATACAACTAATGAACTCATTCTACAAATTAATTATATTAATCAGTAATTTTCCTCTTTTCTCTTTTGAAAGTAAACTGTCTTTTTAAAAATTAGTAGTCATAGTTTAACACTGTCCAGGCTTCGTAACTTACCGATTCGCTTTAAAGTTTTCACATATATATTCCTTGGCCGATGATATAAATACGTGACCGATATGTTACGAGTCATTCGATTTTCTTCAAATTTTGTTCATATTTAAAATCAGTGATTTCTAAAATCAATTTTAATTTTAACAGTTCTTTCCTACAAAAATTTATATTTAAACTGTAGTAAACATTAATTGAAGTATTTTAAAACATGAGTTTATTTATAATTTCAAATTGCTACACTCTTATGGACTTCCGAAAGGTTTCAGAGTTTGGGGGTTTCACCAACATTTTTTTAAAACTTCTCTGAATTTACTTTTTCTTGCATACATACATATACGCTATACTTAATAGATTTTATAATACACATATATAAAGGTAATATTTTTTATTCCAATACCTCTGCATAAATCGAAAGTGGAGTTTAACTCCTACCTACAGCATTGAAATGCCACCAAAAGAGAATAAAATCTATTTGAATTGATTTCAGCACAAAAATAATTGCAAAACCATTCCGGCAGCTTTTATTTGTCATGTTATGTCTCTCTTTGGTTATTTTAATTTTGAATGCATTAAACTCACTCAATAACATAAAAAAATCATAAAATTGATAAAAATTAAGCTAATACATGTACATACATACAATTATAAATGTGACTGATGCGCTCTTGCGGCGAAAGATACATGTGAAAAAGTTATAGGATCAGAAAAGCAAATTATAATAACTAAAAATAACTACAATACACCAATCAACTCTTGGAAAAAATGGCAACATAACTAAGAATATATATTAATGAAAGTATATGTAAATTAATTAATTACTTACTAAAGTAAAAAAAAATATTTGTTAATCTCTTATTAAACACACACACTTATATGTATGTATATTATAAATATCATTATTATTTTTTAGTAAAGAAAGTAAACTTTTAAAGTAAATAAAAACAAACGACAAATACAAACTTAAAATATAATTCAAAACTAAATGCATATATTTAAATGTAATTTTCTTTTCAAGAAACCTAGAAAACTAGTAAAAAAAATTATATAAGGGGGAAGATCGAGAAAATAAATACATACAAAATATATTAAAAACAAAAAAAGCTCATGCGGTTGTTTGATTTTACCAGAAAATGGTATGAAGTTTTTTTTATTTATGGTATAAAAGACCGTATATTACTTTCGCGGGTATATTTATAATTAGTTCCCATACTATTTATTTGTGTATTAATATATTCAGGAAATTGTGAAGGAAAGGGAATTATAATATAATCCTCAGACCGGATTAATTTTGTCAAACACATTTACTTACTTACTTGTTATACGTTCTATGCTTCTTACGTATGTCAGCTGGAACATCTTATTAATAATAAGTAAAAATTTGTTTGCATAGCATTTATTGTACTTTACACGAGAGCTACTCATCCTTATATTTTTATGAAGAATTTTTATTTAATTTTTTGTCTACGATGTTAACTGTATGTTCCTTCCATTTCAAAATATTACACTAACAAAATACATGACAAATAGGTTTAGGCATTTCTAACGTTAGTTTACACAAAGAAAACACATAAGCGTTTTGTTTTTGTATTCTTGCTACTACCGTTTGTGAATTTGCCCAATGTATGTACATAAAAAAAAAATTTTGAAAAATGTTTTCGCTTAAAAGACGAATATACATTTGTGAGGGAATATATATGAGGAAGTGACAGTCCTTGGCTGAATAAAAATTCGAATCGTTCCGGTACAAAGATTCGACCGCCACGCAGATTGATGGATTTAAGTCGGCTCTAACGACAAGGGTAAACTCTTCAACTCCTTGTCCGCACCATTATAACAATTCAAATAATATATCTATATATATATATATATATATATATATATATATATGTTTGTATGTTGATGTGCACCTCAGAGACAAATCATCCAAATATTCGGAAAGTAAAGGACGTTTTCAATTCTGGTAATCCTTATCGGGATAAGGGGTGTTATTATCAAATTTTGGTAATGTTTTCGGACCTTGACAAATCTGCAAAGTTTGAAATAAACCTGACCGTTTGAAGTAGTTCAAAATCGCAAAGACGTTAATTTACAACTGCGTTAATTTAATATTAAATTTGAAATGTTTGGATTTTTTGAATTATGAGGACACAAGTGACAGTTTGTGTAGTTCATTTACCAGCGCCACCTACACCTGAAATCAAAATTAATACTAGTGAGACTAATACAGGATTATATATATATATATATTAATAACAATAAATTTATAGTCCCTCATCCACACTTATTAAATCATTCATATCCGTACTCATTTCTTTGCTTTTTGTATCACATGCATTGCAGCAGAGAATTTAAGAGTTGTTATGAATTCATTGCCTTGTCAACGACTTTGTCCAAGCGTTTACCAGAGAAAATCAAGGTTGGCAGCACTGTACCAATTTTTCAAATGCAACCGCATTTTATAGGGCGACCTCTGCGAAAAATTGCATAGAATTACGCTTCATTAAAAGGGTTGCATTCAGCAGAAAAGAAAAAATCTTAAGTGTTAAAAGCATTTCACTGCCTTAGAATAATAATTTATCACACAAGAATATACAAGAATATCAACAACCACCTAAAAAGTAAAAATTATTCTGGACCTTTAGTTAAAGTTTTTAATGTGTTGTGTCGAATATTTGTAGTGAGCATAGCATCTTCGTACTTGTTTTTTTTTTTGTTTTCGCGCTACTTTGTGAACCCTGACGTGTGTCAGTACATCCACCATCCCCTTTTTTAGTTTTCAGCTTTCTTTCGATGCTCATTTTGAAAAAAGGTAACAAATAGAAAAGACGCGGAGCTTCGTGTTCACTAATTAAATGAAAATTGCATAAATTTTACAAAGAAAAATCTAGCTAAGATTTAGTGATTCATATTTTTATTATATTGTTCCAGGTCGTGAAATAGTTTCAAAGAAGAAAGAATAAAGATTTTGCAAAAACAAGCAATCAAATATTTGCATTGAAAAAAATCAGTCACGCATACATAAATACATACCCAAGCGGCGGCATTTGCAAAGCGGATATATCTAAAAAACAAAGAAGCAAAAATTATATCGAAAAAATGGAAGATGTGAAAAAGCGTACCCGTGATGAAGATGTTGAAAGTGGTGACGAAGGCGCAATTGCTACGACTGGAAACAGTAGCAGTACGACTATTCCGAAAAAGCGCGGTCGTCCTTCCAATCCAGATAAGGTTAAGAAGACGCCAAGTGGCAGAGGCCGCGGTAGGCCAGCTAAGAATTCTGATGACGGTTCCCCGACCGCAAACGGACGTGGTCGTCCTGCTAAATCCGCTGGTAGACGTGGGCGCCCGAAGAAACAAGATAACGAAGAGGAAGCTGGCGATGATGATGAAGATAACCAGAACGATTATAAGAAAAGTGGTAAAAAACCAGGCCGTAAGTCCAAAACACCGAAGAAAGTTGGAAGACCAAGAAAGGCGGAAAGTGAAGATGATGATGGTAAGCATGTTGCATAGTTGCATATAAAATTTATATCTAATGAAAAGATTTAGATTTAGATTCTGGTGAAGAAAAGCGTGTCACAGGAAGAGGACGAGGTAAAAAAGCCGGCGCAGTAGCAACAAAACGTTCAGCCACATCTGCTGCCAATGGTGGGGCACCGAAAAAGCGCGGTCGCCCATCAAAAAAACCAGGAAAACCCGGTCGCAAACCTAAACAGCCGGCTTCTGGCGATGATGATTCCCAAGACAAGGACGAAAATGACGATATTGAGTCATCAGATGATGAACCAAAAAAATCCAAAAAAGATGATACTGAAGACGAAACGGGTGGAAATAGTAACGATGACGAGGATTTGGCAGATGGTGAAGAATCTGCCGCTTAAAGCCCTTATGGCGTAATGTAGATGTAAAGTTGCAAAAAGCAGAATCATGTATAGTTATAATGTATGTATAACTGAGCTGATCATTAAATATAAACATAAATGTACATCTCTTCATATGCATTTATTAGCAACAATAGTATGTAATAAATTTCAAATGTTTTAAATAAAGTCATCGGAAAGTTTCGTATGTATATGAATATTATTAAATATATAAAACAGTATCATTGGAACTCTTCGTTTATTAATTTCAGCGTTAAATTTTGATTGAAGCTCAAAATATTGTGGTACAATCAACTAAGCTAAAAACCAGCACCGAATTTTCTAGTGTCGGATAGTCAAAGTCTACAAACTATTTGTATGTCCCATACTTATTTTAATAATTGAAATCAAGCCTTCCGAATATCAGCACGCGATGCTATTTTCAGTGAGGCAATACTAGTTTCAGAGTTGGTCTGATATATGACAAATTGGCAAATTTACCAAGTTGAAATTATCACGACGGCGGGATTTCATAATGAACAAAGTTTGCAAATCATTCGAAATTGTTACAAAAGTAATGCATCAGATCGTGCGACGTATTGTGTGCTGCGTCCAAAAAACGTTCGACATAATCACCCAGTAAAGCCGGCAATTCGAGCAAAAATCGATCGGTTTCGCCCATGTCCAGTCCGGTGTCTAATGTCCGTTATCAGAGACGCCGTACAATGAGTGCTAATAAGGACTAAATCTGCGATATTTCGTCACAGATGACGAATTGGACGCATACTGCAACAATGACGAGGATATGACAGATGGCTAAAATATTGCTGCCTAAAGCCCTTACGGCGTACAGCAGAAGTAAAGTTGTAAAAAACAGGATCAGGAATTAGGGTAGGATAAACTATGTTAAATATCAGAGGATTGTGAGTGTTTCTCTCTCCAAAGCAGTTGGTTGTTTGTCATATACATATTTATTTTAAAAATTGAAACCGCGCGCGTTAAAAAAGATGTTCTTTTTAATAACATATGTACATACATATGTATCTTTTGTATTTTTGGAATGAGCTTGGTTAACTGGGTATATTTGAATATATGTACAAGGTATAAACATTTTAAGTTTTGGAGAGAGAAGACAAATTGGAACACCTAAGAGTTTGTTTTATTTTTCATTTATCAAATTTTTAATTATGTTTTTTTTTCCCAAGACACAATTAATTTTTTTGTGGATTTTAGATCATAAATTTTACCATCGCTAAGTCGATTTTACAGGAATCGATGCGAATCGCTTTTATTTTATACAAGGTGATATTGACTTAACGAAAATCTGATTTTTACTTCTTAAAACCTTGAGTTTTGTACATGAAAATCAAGAAATTAAGGATATATGTATATATCATTGACGTTTTGTAGCCGCTGAAGCGATTATAGGCCGAGCTTCTCCTCCAATTTGTGGTTTTGCGTTCTTTTTTATATGCTATTGAAATTTTTTTATACCAAACAAGAAAAATTTGAAATATCATGTAATTTTTAGGCCTTCGTTATGGCGTACCCTCAGTTTGTTTCACGGGATTGTCAGAATTTCAACTGTCAAAAAAGTTAAGGCTGGTTCTGTGTGAATCAGCCTTAAAAATTTGAAGGCGTCGATTAAAATTCGATAAACGGTCAAAGCATCGAGTAAAACATATTTAAATCGCAATAAAACTATCGAGTGCCATTTTGTGATTTTTGGAATCGATTGATTACTCTTTCCCAAATACAAATTAAAAGTTTACTGCTTGCTTGTAAAAGAATATTAAATTGTTAAGTTTATTTAAAACCACGGCTAATATTTGTAAGAAGATGACACCTTGTAGGGGTAGGCCGCGAAAACTTGGTAAACTGAAAGTTCCACACGCAATTGTCGCAACAGGAAAGGGACGCGGTCGGCCGAAAAATCCAAAGAAGGCTGCGTTATTAAAAAAAGTTGCTGCAGTTAAAAAAAAGTCGCTTGGTCGTGGTCGCCCAAGGAAAGAGAAAGCAAGCAGTGAAAATGAGAACTGTGAGATTGTATTATAATTACAGTTACACTAGCATATAATAACGAAATGTAATTTACAGCCTCTTGTGACGAAAAGCCCGACTATGAGGAACGTCGTGGAGTAGGAAGACCAAGCACCGGAGCTGTGAACTTAAATATTGTGCGTACAGGCCGTGGGCAAGGACGTCCTAAAAAGAAAAAGACGGAGGCAGGACTTGTAGGTTCTGTAACAAAGTCATCGAAAAAATGTGGGCGCCCGTACCAAGGCGGAGTTCCGTACGTGCCAACAGGAAAACCGCGTGGACGACCTAAGAGTAATCAAAATGAGCCGACAAATAATAATAAGGATCAATTAGAAGAACAGGAAGAACAGGCGTGTGAGGAAGTAGTGGGTATATAAATAATTTCAATATGAAGAGGTAGCATGTAAACAAATGTATGTATATCTATTAATTGATATTTCATATCCATACACATATAACGTAATATAAGGCATAACACATACTCTACTTGACTATGTAAAAATATAAACGTAACTAGACCTCAAAAACATATTTAGATTTTATTGAATTTCGCCAACTAAAAGAAAAGTGTATGTCGCAGTAGCCGAGTGTGTTTGAGTTCTGGTTCAACCATTATCCAAAATGAGAGAAAATTAATTTTTCTAATTCTGCTCGGCCCTCGGCAGAAAATGTTAAGACCCCCAAGTTTATTTCTGACCTCAAAATAAAGGCTTCTGATAAAAATACATCGACCATACGAAAGCAACTGGGGCACTCGGTTAGTTTCACAATTTAGCTCGAATGAAATATACGCACAAACAAATATGGTCATGTTTTTGGGATTCGAGGGTGTAATCGAAGATAACTCTTTATCCCGCAAGAATCCTTTAAAAATCCACATTTTTTCATAAGATTTTCCAACAGTGATCTATGCAATCTGTGAGTGTTTCGTATCATGTTATCTTTGAAAGTAATCACAAATGTGGGAATAAAATCTCAAACTACAAACGTTTTCATTTGAGATTTACAACTCATCTGGCAATGTGCTCAATGGCGTTTGGTCAAATGTCTGCCTAACACACGTGTGGCAGCACTGCCAAACAAAGAAACACAGAGTGTTTGCCAATTGAGTCCAAAAGAATTTTCGCAACACGAGTAGAACTTTTCACGCCGCTGCGGAAAATTCTTCTATTATAAATTTCATCGAGAAATTTAATTGTGTATCCTTAAGAATAATCAGCATTTCTTTGTCAAAATATAATCATATTTATTAAAATTTTGTCATTTGTGAATGAATGTATGAAAGATTTGTTTCGTTGCTTAGAACTTTGTAAATTTCTGTATGTGTTGCGTGTATAGTTGTTTGTGTACCGTACGTTGGAACAAGCAATGTGTTGTTGCTGTCGCTCTTGTAGATGCGTTTTTATGCAAATATCTTCATATGTGTTAAAACCAAAAATAACAAAACATCAACAATAAAGAGCTGATAATATTAAGTGTTAAACACTGACAAATTGTTTAATCTTCGCAGAAACAATCCTATTAAGGTCATTTGCGGCTTAACAATTAAACTGAAAGGACATGCGGACATATATGTTGTATATGCATGTATGTATGGTTTAATAAATAAAAAAGATATGCTAAAATTCCACATGAATGAGTAGTAAAAATTGTGTGAAGAAACGATTAACAATTAAGTATTTTTGCACATTTTTGTGTGCATTTTAGTGGAATAACACAATAAATGAAATAGATAAGTAAACAACTAAGAAAAACTGTTTTGAAATCTAATGGGAATTAATGGTAAGTCTAAAAATTCATAGCTAACAATGAAATTCAATTCATGTGGTTACATATTTTTTTATTTTTAAAATATACCCGAATATTCAACGTAACTTTTTTGTTGAAGATAAAATGAACTGGTCACGAATGGTATACATACATATATACGTGTACATGTAATTCCCTTAGTACACAATAGACACGTTCCCAAAAAATGTATGAAATAAAAAAATTAGATGAATATAGTATGAAAAATTCATACCCTCACATGTTAGTTCACTAAGTATATTGTAAATAATATGTTCTATACTTTGCAAAATAGAAAATAACATATTACTAACAATTCAAGTTAATTTTTTTTAATTTTCCTTTTCATTGCCGTTTTTCTCAAATAAAATAAATCTGTGTTTTGTACCAATGGAATTGAATACTTGTATATTTTTCTTAAATTTATTACATAGAAAAATTTTATTTGCAATATACAGTCAGAAACCATTACATTTCATTTCCTGTTTTATAAACCAATTGAATACTGGTCAATAGAATTACTCTGATTACATTGGTGAGCTTATTGTAAAAATTGTAAAAATTTTTTTAAAACGAAGCGAGAGGCTTTTGCTTTAGAATTTTTAAAAATTATTTTGTACTATTCATCGGCTCTCATTTCCTCTTTGTTGTGTATGTTTATTCAGATTTGGCTGTATTTAGCTAAATTCGCGTTTGTTGTGCTAGACAGATATGTAATTGTGTTTCTTTTATTCGTAGTTTGTGTACGCATCGAACAAAAAAAAAAGCACTCAAAGAGGAGATTGAGTATATTTCTAAAGCCGCAGAATATTCTCAGCCAAAAGAGAGTAAACTACTTAAATAAACAAGCACAATGCGTTAAAAGCGAGAGTACAACGAAAACTTTAGCAATTCATTTTAGTAAACCTCTTGAACATAATTAGACGTTATATTTGTTAATGTATCACTTATTTTTTCCTATAATACAACTCTAACATTGATATATCATTGGAATATATAATTATATTATATCGAAATAAATTGAGTATGTTGTTGAGCGTGAGCAGTGCATGTATTCCAGCGAGTAGAGGATAATGCGAAAAGCAATGCAAAAAACGCAGAGAAATATGAGCGAACAAAAAGGAACTACAATAAAGAGGAGAGAAAAAATGGATAATTATTCCCGAATACAGCTGGTGGAAAACGAGCGAATAACACAGCGAATGAGTGAGCAACGACCGCAACGCTACTGTCTTCTGCTAGCGCAACAAAACGCGCATCCAACGCCAGAGCGAACAGAAACAATTTGTGTGTGTTCTCGCGACGAGTTCGACTTCATCCTGTGTAAATAATTTGTAATTAACGCAAAAACGCCTAAATCTTAGTGCAAAATCACAAAAAATCTTTTTACATAAGAAATTAATTAAGTATTTTACTTGCTGGGTATGAGCATTTTACAAAGTGTATATAAATCTGATAAAAGTTGTTAAAGAAAAATTCAAAAAAGAAAAAATCGAAACAAGCGAAAAAGCAAACGCCGCTGCGTTACGTTGTCACCAATTCGTGTATACCCTTGTCGTACTCGCGAACGGCGGCTAAAATAACCAGCGTCAATATTTTCTTGTAATTATTGTGACAAGTGTAACTTTGTATCAATAAACTGAGCGAAACCAGATATCTTTAGCATCTTACATTGCGTAAAAGTTTATGATAAATAATATCAATTGTATTTATAAGAAATCTAACTACAAAAATTCCAAAATCGTTATAATAAATTTATGCATAATTTGTGTCAAATAAAAGCCGAGAATGTTTACATAAATTCTACTTAACTAAGTTGAGTTTTAAATAATTTCGTGGCATTTTTAAGAATATTTCTTATGTGGCTTAAATAGCAAGCACACGCTTGGAACGAGCACCAGAAACACCGATTACCTATACTATATTGGATAACTCACCCATACATTTGCAAAGCCTCATACATATATACATACCAAACCAAAATCCTTTGAACAAGCAACAAAGAACGTTCAGCCATAGTAAAAAGGTAAAAATCAATCGATGTTGGGTTTGATAGTTTAAACATATATTGTGTTTCTGGATGTGCTTTAATTAAGTAATGTGTGAAGTTAATATAAATACATATGTATGTATATCGGCTTAAAAACATTTCTACAGGAGAGAAGTTTTTCCCACAACAAATATTGCTTCTATATAGATACACATAATATTATTTACATATGCACATCTTATATGTATGTATGCACGTTATGGGACAGAGGTACCTTCATGTTAGCACGACATGATATTGGTCGCCTCACTGTTTTTCTTCGACAAGACCATGTATTGAGGTTTTTTATTTGGTTCCAAACTCTCGTATTCCATCTCTAAAGATAAAACATGCAATGACAGCAAGCAGATAGATAGGAAACCGCCTCAGTTACCAACAAGCACAGAGTGCGAGTAAAGTAGCTGCTCCGCGGGTGTACGTATGTATGAATGTGCTGTTTTGCAGTAAACAGTGTAGCCTTCCCGTTCGTTCGATTGATTTTTTTTAGCGCTACTCATTCCGAACTACCTTCCTTGGTGATGTTGGTGTTAACGCCGGCTTGGCTACTGGTGCATAATATTCGCCCTTTAAAATTTATATGAACATTTGTATATTCCTCCTTACTCTTATTCTTCCATATACATATATATATATATATATATATATGTAAATTTATTTCCCTTTTTCTGGCTACCTTTGTTGTGGCAGCCTCACTTGTAAGTTTGTGTGTGGGCTTGTATTCTTTTCCGGTGCTCCTCTTTGAGCCGCATGTTTTTCATCATTCCTTATTTCCTATCCGCCATGCAGTAGTTGTTGTACGTTGACTCCTTGTGTACTTTGTTTCATATGTATGTATGTATATCCCTGTATATATACTTATGTATGTGTGCATAAATATGTCTTTCTGTTTTCGTTATATACTTCGTACGTTTGTGCATATAGTCGCATATATATATATATTGTGTAGTAGATCGTTTTATATGGCTTACAGTTAAATTTCCTAATAAGAAAGTTCGGAGGAATATATGTATTTACGTAGAAGAAGAATATAAAGAAGACAAAATTCCGAATTTGAATTGGACAATTTATTTATGTATTTATGTTGCAAGTCCGCTTATCAGAAGTACTAATGGGATCGATATTTTAAAATTTAGACCTTTTTTTAATTCAGTTCTTTTATAAAGGGTGATCCATTTAGAGGTTCCCTACTTTTTTGTAAGAAAAAAAGAAGAAAATTCAAAATTTTGACTGGTAACTGGTGTATGACACGCGTTATGTTTTGCCCCAAGGCCTGAATCGCCGCAGGAAAAAGACTTACGGTACGATATCACACGATCATGTAGCTCTTGATATTGTGGCCGCTTTTCTTTTAGCGCGCGACTAAGGCGCATCAGTTGCGTTCGGTAGCGATCTCCTGTGATGGTTTCACCCGTTTTTAAGAGCTCGTAGTAAATCACATTGATCCTGTCCCACCAAATACAAATCATAACGTTGACGCCGTGAATATTCGTTGAAACCACTTCCGACACGTTCTTTCACTCAGAGCAGCATCACCGTAAGTTTCTGAGAGCATTCGTTGCGCATCAACTGCATTTTTTTTCGAATTGTAACAGAAAAGTAAAACTTCCCGCAAATGGCGAGAATTAGGCACATAAACGGACATTTTCGAGCGTAAATAATACAAAAAAAGAACAACTGTCACTGAAACGGCGATGACAATTCGTTAGGCACTACTCACACTCACTTTAAAGGCATTATCATCTATGTATTTCAAACAGCCTCAGCCGGTACAGCCACCTATCGGAAAACGGCGGAAGCAAAGGTTTACACCTGATACCTTTCAGCAGTACCACCCGTCACTACGTCAATGTCAAACTCAAAACCTTCTCTCAAAAACTCGGAAGAAAACTGAGTCGGCGATCAAATGTCATCGTCGATGCCTCCGCACCGTACAGCAGGTCGGAAATGATGGGCGACTTGAAGACTTTGGTCTTCGCTCGTCGTGAGAGAACTTTACTTTTCAAATACCTACTCAGTCCAAAGTACCACCTATTGGTAAGAGTGATTCTGCGCTGGATTCCTATGCTGTCGGTGCTTGCTGGTTTCAAGATAATCAAAGTTGAATACGACTTCAAAGTTGTGAATTTGAACAGTGACGTGGAGGAGAGCTGCGAATGCGACGACTGTTTGTTTGATGACAGGAGATATTTCGTCTTCTCCTTGCTCAGAACCAGACCCATATATCTCGCTTCTGTATACAGTCTGGAGAAAGCAGAATTCACGACGCAGTTGTTGAGGCCGATAATTTCAATATCAGCGAACTATTTTCTCCAGCAATAAATTAATTAAAGGAGTCACACGATAAGGAATCACCTCATCTGAAACTTCGTTTGGTATCGAACGGTGTTGCTTAACGTCAGTTTACATAGCCGTATAAGTTTTTGGGGACACCGAATTCAGATATAGCGGCGTAGAGTCGGCTACTTTTGGTGCTGTCGAAGGCTGATTTAAAATAGGCGAGGTGGAGGTGGGCTTTAATCTTTCACACAATGTGGCGAAGGCAGCGCTCATAAGTCAGTCTTTAGTTTAGCGAGGACATCAACCAACTAAGCAGCAGCATCTTCCCAATTAAGGGACGGCATTCCATGTGTATGCCCTGAAATCGTGGTCTTTAAAACATTTACCGGGGTTGTCATCAGAAGGGAGTATATCATCTAAAGCCTTAGCATGTACTTCATTGAAGCTGGTTTCTTCGTGACAGCCGCATTTTTGGCGCTGGAATTAAACTTCAGCGGACCCTTAAACCTAATAAGCGAAGAGGACGCAAGCGTAGGAATTGAGTATAGCCTCGCGATTGTTACTGCACACCCAATAGCCTGACTACGCCCCATTACAACCCAGTTTTTAGACAGTAAAAGAAAAATGTACTTACAATTCTAATTATAAATTTTTTTTTTTTTTAAATTGTAAATAGCATGGAATATACAATTGTCCATGTGCGAAGGCATTCGTATTTAAATGTAGACCTAGTGATTGCAAACGCTAGTTGCACAGGAAACTGTAAAAGCTGAGTTAAAAGGAAATATCGGGAAGCATTATGAGGATTCGACGCATGACGACGACTTTCGGTCCGAACTGACCAAGTCGTGTGTCGTTATAGAGTTTCGGCCTTGGGAGAAGAAATAAAAAATTCTGTATGATAAATGACTGCCTCATCTGCTTATAGGTGGTGGGGAATAGGCATTCTGCCATTCCCCCCTTACCAGTAACTAGCGTGTAAATACATTGGCCGAAGGATAATTTTATGCTTATTGGGGGTTAGTTACTTGTGCATGTCGCCACAGCGTAGACGTTGTCATAATTTCGAGGATAAATTTTCACTTCTTCCTGAATATTTTTGTAATATTCCTAGGTATTTATATCTCAATGAAATGAGTATTAAGGATTAACTCGATTGGGCTAGTTTGGGGAAGAACTAATGTTTTTAATAAAATTGCTACAGTTTATTTTTTTTTAAACTGTAGCAATTTGTTTGTATATTGATATGTAAATAAAATCATGAATTCCTAAATTTGATCGAATAATAAGCTTTTCTATTCTCTTCTCATTTCAGTGTACATGTGCAATTATCTTTGCGATTTTCCACGATCAAATGTAAAAAGGATCTCGTCTCTGTAAAATTTGTTAACTTCGCTTGTAAATTACTTTTGTGTAAATATAAACCTGTGTACATATGTATTTAAAATAAACGGATTATTTCTAGACCACTGTGCATGTGTTAACGATAAGTGTAGTGTGTTTTTGCTATTTGAATTAAGCACATATATATGTATATATATGTATATGTTTGTGTGTATAAAGTGAAAAAAATAAGGAAAAAAGTGAATTGTAAATTAAAAAATCTCCTAAATATTTCACCGGTTTCTTGAAATATTATATGAATAAGAAAAATTCTCACTGAGAAACACATTTTAATATCATCAAATTTTCGCGCTGAATTTTCACATATATAAATTTGTGGTGATCTCGAATGTATTTTAATTCATACTTACATATTCTTTTGTACGTATAGCATTTTAATCAAGTCTCGCAAGCAAGTGTAGAAATTGGTGTAAATATTCAGCATTTAATCTTCTCCAAAAGTATTTGTGCGTATTTAAAAGATAAATAAAAGCGTGTGTGCGGACCCAAAAATAATTAATAATAATTAAAAAATCAATTTCAATACTTACGCAATATTTGTAATAAAGAGATCGCAACAAATCGGCTCAATCGGAGAAAATCGCACATCTCTACTCGTATTTAATTTGATTTGTATTTCGCCGTTGCGCGCTCGTTAATTAAAAGCCGTCAAAATAGAGCTGTTACCAACGCCCACGATTTCCATATCCACGGTTGCACCGTCACCGCTATCGCCCCATCACCATCCTCAGCACCAACAACATCACCATCTCCATCAAACCTTCCAGCAACAACAGCCGCAGCAACCGCCACAGCAGCAGCAGCAACAACATCATCATCCGAATCAGCCGCATACGCCGTTTGGTGGTGGCTTTCATCATCCGTTCCCGCCACTTTTGCCACACCAACAACAACAACAGCAGCAGCAACAACAACAACAATCGCAACCCAATTTTCTATTAACCCCTCCACTACCAACAACACCACAATCCCAATTGCAACAACAACAACAACAACAACATATGAAGTTATTGGGTGGTAATGATGATCGTAATGGGCGCGGCGATCAGACTATACCGCGCGTACAAGAGGAGGCAACTGGCGGCGGCGGGGGCGGCTTTATATTTCAACCGCCTGGCACGTCCATGCACGATATGGCTGCTGTCGAATATGCTGCACAATTTGCGCAAAAGCGTTGGGCTTGTGGCGATGAGCAACCGATTGATGTAAGTACATCCTTCATAAATATATTTGTGTATTTACATACATATATAACTATTTATATATCTTTAATTATATCCTTCACAATGTAGGGCGCATAACCTTAAAGTTCCTTATGATCATTCGTCCAAAAGGATGTGATGCAAGATAAATTTATAAAAGGTGAACTTGTCACATCATATGATTTCTTGTTCATTCTTAAATTTCACCAAATCACAAAAAAAAAAAAAGAAAACATACAGAATTCCTATTTGGTTGCGATATTTAATTTATTTTCCCTTAAAAGTTGTTTAAATAGGTGGCAACTACTTAAATAGTTAGTTGCCCTCTCTAAATATTTTTACTCTCAACACTCTTCAGATTAATACCCACATTGTAATATAATATAGGATTATCCTTTTTGAAGTTTGCGAAAGTGTCAACATTTGCATTATTTTTAAAGCAGTATGCCAATGAAATGACAGCCTCGCCAATTTTTGAAAACTTCGATCTTTTTTACTGTCGTAGACACGCTTACGTGATTTTAGCCGATTTTATAACATCGCGCTATTCATTCCATTTTCTCGCTGCTTGGCGCCAATGGGAGGCCCCAAGTAGAGCCAGGTCCCTCTCTACCTGGTCTTTCCAACGCAGTGGAGGACCTCCTCTTTCTGTGCTTCCACTGGTGGGAATTGCATCGAAAACTTTCAGAGCTGGAGTATTCTTATCCATCCGGACCTCAGGACCTAGCCAATGTAGCCACTGTTTCTTGATTCGCTGAACTATTTTAATGTCGCCGTATAACTCGTACAGCTCATGTTGTTGTAGTAATCACTAAAATATTAATTAATATTCCCCAAAGTACTTTTTGGGGGATGCTGTGGGAGTGACAGTCCTTGGCTGGATAAAAGTTAGGGTCGTTCCGGTATAAAGACCCGACTGTAGCGAGAACTATTGGATTTAAGCGCTTCTTACGACAGCCATGCCTTACCGCGGGTAAATTCTTGAAATTTCAAACCGCAGGGTGGTACAGCTCATCATTCCTTCCGCTGCAATATTCGCCGTTACCCACTCGTAGAGGACTGTAGATCTTATACAAACTCATAAAATTTTCAAACATTACCCTGTCGGCCAGTTACTCACGTATCTCGGCCTCTCTCTGTTTTGTCTACAGCTGCGCCTTGCTTCCTTCTTCTGTTTTTGCGACTTTTACGAAATCCAATAGATTTGTTTGCAGCTGTAGGGCGAGAGCTTGAAATGCCGTCTCACAGCTCTTGTATACCGAATCGCTGTTGGGTGCTCTCAGAGAGCAGGAGTGTGTTTGTTGGCGGGCGTTCTATTTGTCATTTTCAAAGAAGTAAAATCCAATCACACCTCCTGGCCGAAGAGCGCACCAGACCTCTCTTCAACTGTATGAGGATTCTCGGTACACTAAATGCGATAATTTTGCTTAATTAAGAGTGCTGAGAGTGAGAAATTGCCGTCCACCGCTTTATGTTCAAGCAACCAATTCGTGGCATAAATGTTATGCTCTGCAAGTGATACTCCGGTCACATCAGGAGGGTGCCAGAAACGTTTCTTATTCTTTTCTCCACGTGCTGACGGCTAACGCTTTGAGGATTTTGTTGTGGCTCTATAGTTTGGGTTTTGGAAAGTCGAAATGTTTACGTCCTCGACTAATCGAGGATTTCGCAGGTTGTTAATGTAATAGTCGTACAGTAAGAAGTGGGAAAGGCCGCCGAAACGGCAGGTTTACTTTGGAACACAAGTTGTAAATATTATGGTGGAGAAGGAAGTTTCGATATGTAGAAATAAAAGAGTGTACTTGCGGAATGCCTTGTTTAACCTTACGAAGTTTGGAAGTTCGATCTCGAAATTCTACCAACACTGAATGGTTGACAAATCCATTGCTATCAAGACGGTTCGCGCTAGGCTGTTTTTGATTAATGCCATGGACTATCTGAGTTTTTATGGCGTAAAGTGCGGTTGAGGTGTTGTTAACTTTGCGGGAATCATGCTGATGCCGATATGATTCTGGTTTCCTCGGTTTAAATAGGCGGATCTCTACATCCATTTACCACATATCCGATATTATTAGTGACTGTATTAGGTAATCGATGATTCCCGTTACTCTTTTCTTTTGTATTTATGAAAAAGTTCTTATTTTCGTTCTTATGTTTATAAATACATATGTATAATGTATGTATGCAGTGCAGTGTTGTTATGTTGCGTGAAAAAATCATCAGCTTTTCACAAGCTATTCGCCACGGCTGGAATGGTGCCAGGAAAATGTGTGCGAAAATGATAATGAAAACAAAAGAAAACACATTCAATTATGAGCAAGAAGATGATGGGCTAAGCAAATACAAAAAATGCCGATAGAGCGTAGACAATAATAAAAATGGGCGGCATTTGAATTAATAGAAAATAGTAAATAATTCAATATTTTCAAACAGAACTGATTTTGTAGAATTGCATGAGAGCTTCAGGTGTTTTTCCAACAAATGAAGGAACTTTAGTTTATTCTAATCCGCCTCAGAATTTTTATGAGGAGCTTTGGTTTTCATGCCAGAAATACTCGGATAGTGAGACTTAACATTCTCTGCTGAAGGGCGACTGACTCGAACACAGGCATTCGGAATGGCAGCACGCACTGCAAACGGCTCGGCGATCGCAGCCGCCATGGCAACATGTATAGATATGAATACACGTGTATAATCATTTTTATTGCTATTTCGTTTATTTGCCGGCTTCATATTCACTTTCGGGAGCTGCATACTTGGATGGTTTGTGTATGTATGCAGGTGTGCGTGTATTGCCCACACTTCTTTCTAATAATTATTCCTTCTCATCGTTTTCCTTCCTCTGCTTTTGTGCAACGATGCATGCTTTGCAACGAGTAGAGAACTCAAAAAGGAAGAAATTGAAACCAAATCGAGCTGACTATTCTAGGTGCACGTACTTACATCAGTATTTACACTTACACATACTCATACACATACACCATGAGAGCGAGCTCGTCGCCGTCTCGTCCAAGTAATGGCAACATGTGAAAGATGTGTACTTTGCTTCAACGTTTCGCCAGAACCTGAGGCACAATGACGCCAAATTAGCTAATGCCACACCGCATGCCCCCTTTGCAGTGCTAGTTGTTGCACGAATACAGTTTCGTATGCGCACCTACACTTACTTAGAAGTAGAAGTATGCATGTATTAGCTTTTATTCTTTTTGTTGTTGACAAGTGTTGTTTTCAACTTTATTAAAGTTATTATAGTCATAAATATGTACTGGTACATCTGCATTTAGCTTATGTTCGATGCTTGCAACCTGCATGCGAGCTCATTACAACGAGTCAGAGGAATGAGCATTGTTCCTAGAGCTATTTTAATGAGCGACGTTGGAGTTCAAATATCTACATATACACGGCTGCTACGTTAATATGATTTCTGAGTACGAAACAATGCTGTGCGAACCGTTCAGGCAGTCGTACAAATAAGCCTATGAATAACCACTTGGAGGCGGGTAAAAATGAGGAGGGGACTGCCCCACTGAGACTTTATTAGCGCCTGTTTTCAATATTTATAGAGAGAGAGATCGCCGAGTAGATCTAAAATTCCGAAACTACAAACACATTTTATAACACTCTCGTTAGTTTGTATCGTTCCGGTATCAAGACACGATTGTCGTGTGAACTTGTACATTTTAGTCATCTCTTACTTCGCAGCTCATGAGACAAACCATAGTAGAGATAGCTATGGAGCAGTAGTTAGTTCTTCGAATCATTGGACAAGTTCGACTTGGTGAGGGTTTTCCGACCTGAGCAAGGAGGGGGAATGCATTTGACTTTGTTCGTCGAGGGACGACTTTACTTTCCAATTGTCTACTCAGTCCAAAGTGGCACCATTTGTGGTGGTTGAAATCCACCTGATATAGTTGTTGATATTAATGATGGTTTCAAGATAGACGAATTTTTTTACAACTTCAGTGTCGCGAACGCGATGACTGTTTGTTTGCTGTCGCTTCGCTTCCTAATCAATTCCGGAGAAAGCATATCCTACAAAGCGGTCGTTGAGGCCAATGATGTTAAGATCATCGGCTTACGCCAGCAACTGTGCACTCTTATATGTAGAAGATTTTTTCTTCTGTATTTGGCTCTGCTGTTCGTATTTTTTTCTCCAGCAATAAATTAAGGAAGTCCATTAGGGGCCACCTTGTCTGAAACCTAGCAAAGTATCGAATGGCTCGGAGAGATTTTTCCCGATTTTGACGGAGCTTTTGGTACAAGTTGTAGTCCCTGCAATTTAAATTGCTCACAATTTCTGTAAGTCGCGCTTCCTGCAATTGCTTTTCTGTATGTGTCTGGCCTTTTATTTAGCACCGGAAAATATAACGGGGTTAAGTTTGAGCGGAACCGAAAAATAGAAAACCGACTGCTTTAACTGAGCGTTGTTAATGCTTATATATTCCGTATTAAAAGCACGACGTAAACTTTTGTTTACTTTTGCTAGTCTCTTGTTCCATTTAATCTGCGAACCAAGTTTGCTATGTGCAACGGAACCAGGTGCTGTTTCTGTAATTTTATCTAACACCAATATTTATAATCACGAAAAACTGGTAGCGTAAGTACTCTACGCTGATGTTACATTTTTGAGTGCGGAAGCCAGCACCAACAGACGTAAACATGTCTGGAATAATTGGCAACGCACACAAGTTTCCTTACATAAATTTTTTTTTTCGAAAAGGACAACCGTTCCGATTGAAGAGTGGAAGTGGTCAAACAATTAAGATAAGAACGTGGACGCGAGCTGAACACCACGTAGTCGTCATGTCTGGTGTACTTCTCAGCTGTCGCTAGACGACGCCAAGCGCCATTAATCGACGACTCTTCTCCAGCTGTGCGCCTCGTTGGCGGCAATAAAAATGGTATTATTTTCGCTTAGTTTTGATTTCTCTCCTTTAATACAACAAGGCAGTAGGCGGTGGGTAGCTCTCCATGCCAAACTGCTCAAGGAAAGTTATGTGATGGCAATAACACCAAGTATCCCTGTTTTTGTGTGTTTGTTTTGCGCCCTTTTTCTCCTCTCCCTCGAGTTGCTTTTAGCCTATTGTCAAAACGTTGCGCTTGTTTGAGCTTTATTGTGTTTATTTTATTTTTGTTTCGTTGATATTATTATTGTTAATGGGAGCGTGTGTCGACACAATTTTTGTGGCAACACATTGCTAAGTGTTCGGATTTCTGTCTGCCATGAAGTCTATGTCATCTAGGACCGGTAGACGATTCGGCTTTCCTCGGGCTTGGCAGTACGGTTAATTGTTATTGGGCTCAATACATCACGTATCCAAGACATAATTTGATTCACACAAACTTCAGTCTGCCATATTCGTGAGTTCTTTGAGTGACATAAGGTGAGAAGAATTGTAAGGGTGTAAACATACCCGCTAAGAGGTCGGTAGAGCCTTTAATGATCGCTCGAAAGCTACTGATTTCAAGGCGAGGTCTCTTTGCTACAGCACTATGTTGCCAGTACCACGGTCACAGAGCTCAATACCAACTTGGCGTGCCATGTATTAATTTTCGCTTGCTGAGCCTTTTCTTTCTTCTAGTTCAGTTTTTCTGTAGCCTTGTGTGATATGGTTTATATTTAAAATATTCGTGGAGGGTAAACGCTTGTGTGGGCAAAATTTTCCTTTCAATTTTCAGTTCATGAACTCAGTGATTCTATCACATCCATTTTACTTAAACACTTTCTTCTTTTATTTCATTACAGAATCCCGATAAATGGAAGTACAATCCACCGCCACAAATGAATCCGACCAACGCTACACCCGGTGCATTGCCTGGAAATGGTCCTGGCACAATCGGTCCCATCGGTATGGGCGCTAATATTGGCAGCATGGGTACCAATGGTGGGTTGCATCCTTCGATGAGTGGACCTTCACAGTTGGGTGTCGGACAAATGGGTGTGGGCGGTGGTAGTGCTGCTGCGGCCGCAGCCGCTGGCATGGCTGCTATGCACACAGCTGCTGTGGCTAAGCACAATCACATGATGTCACAGGTCGTTGCCGCACAACAACAACATCAGCAGCACCAGCAGCAGCATCAGCAGCAGCAACAACAAAAACAGCAGCAGCAGCCACCACATCCAGCACACCAACAGCCAGGGCAGCAGCAACCACAACAGCAACAACAGCCAGGGCAGCAGCAACATAGCGGCAATGGTGCTCAACAAATGCAACTTACTCACTCCCAACAACAACAACACCAACAGCAGCAGCAGCAGCAGCAACAGCATCAGCAGCAACAACAACAGCAGCAGCATCAGCAGCAACAACAGCAACAGCATGGACCGCCGCACCCCTCACAAATGACATCACATCAACAATTCGGCTCGAATTTACTGAATCACGCTATGAATAATCCAGCTGCCGCAGCAGCCGCTGCCGCTATCGCCGCCAGCATGCAACCGCCGCACATGCAGATGCAAGGCGCCATGCAAGCGGGCAACTGCAACATGTACGACCATCCAGGTGTACATCCCGGCGTGGGCATGAATGGTGTGCCCAAGCCACCGGGTCCACCCGGTCCACCAGGTGGGCCTGGCGAATTGGTCTACTTCGGGGGCCAGCCACCTAACGCTGCTGCGGCTGCTGCTGCTGCCGCTATGGGCATGTTGCCCCCAAATCCTTTCATGAATAACGCTGCCGCGGCCGCAGCCGCCGCCAATCGTAATGCCGCAGCGGTGAGTCATTTCATTCATGTTTGCTTCTCTTTTTTTAAATATACGATTTACTTGTATACATATATACGCATTTATGCATTTATAAATTATTGTGCGTTAAGATTATTTAGGAATATATATATATGTATATACAGGGTCCGACACGTAACTTTTTTTTTTAATGCAATAAAACAAATGCCCATTCGGCAAAGGCAAACCGCATCGGATGGTCTCGTGGCTTCAATTCTTGAACCAATTGAACTTTTTACGGTGTCATACCAAGGTCTTTTTTCAAAATTCGCCTAAGGGACGTCTCGGAGATGTCCAATTGTTGAGAGCGATGCTTCACTGATGTTCCGGGCACCTCACGCACACTCTTGGCCACAGCAGCGATATTACCATTACCGGCAGTACGCACTTTTTTTGGTTTCTCACGCGTTGGTTTATCAATAATTGTGCCGGTTTCACTCAATTTTTTCAAAAGAAAGCGCACATACGGAGCGGACGGTGCTTTGTTACGGCTCATTTCCGTGCGTAATTTTCGCACACATTTTCAAAGTAAAACTGCACTATTTTAACGCGTTCCTCATACGTATACACAACCATTTTCGTTCAGCGGAAGGATAAAACTAACTTTCTGTCAAATCAGATGTGAAATCAGTGTTACCACACTCAAAATAACCACTAGTTCAAAAAAAAAAAAATATTAGATGGCGGACCCTGTATATACATACTCGTATGTATAGTTTGCTTCGAACCTTTTGTTTCCAGTGTTGATCACGATAAGCAACGATTGCCTGGGTGTTTTATGATCAGTATCTGCAGGTTGAGTGCTTCTGTAATAAATTTTTTTTTGTATTTATACACAAAGGGGCAATCTGCGCTATCGGGTTCACACTTGCCGATAACAAAATTTATTAGCTATGAAAGTGATGGAAGCTTTTGCTGCTCTGTAATTCGATAATACATACATATGTGTATTCAAATTAGTGGACACAGTATCCGAATGGAATGGAATACTGCCCGCAGCCAGATGGGGGGTTAGAGGTTCGAATACTGGTCAGGCCAAGAACAAAAATTATAAAAAACTGGCCTCTCGGCTTAAAACTCGACTTAAACTGTAAGTGAACATATGTTGGAAAAACATCAACGTGTACACTACACATTTAGGAGGAGCTCAGCTAAAGATGGCCTCAGTTTTTATAAAGCTGTTACTGGAGGCAACACATCCAATTTTCATTTCGCTTTCCATGTAAAGAACTCAGAGTGATCTCTTTTACAGGAAAAGCACAGAAAATTCAATTAAAATGAGGAATGTTTCTTATCATTCGAAATAACATTGTTTTGCATTTATTTTTTTTTTTTTGCAGATTTTCTCTTTCAAATGTTGGCCGCGTTGAGTCCAATTATCGACGACTCTTTCGAGCATGTCACGACTGACACGCGTGATGTTTTGCTCCGGCCTGAGGCCTGAAGGCATTGTCCGCATAGACTTTACATATCCCCACAGGAAAAGTGTCACTCAGTAGAGTTTTCGTAATGAAGTTGAACGATTCGTAAACGTTGCACCCGCGTAAGTCTCTCCATGATGAAATGCCAAACACGACTGAACAAAAATCACATATCAGCATGACATGACTCATGAAAAGTAGCTCTACTTGGACCACCCGTTAGTTAGCTCAAAACCTGACGGAGAAAACGCGAGTTTTCGGCACGATCTTTCTGTTTTCCTCTTTATTCCTTTCTTTATTTTGATCACTGCACTCTTTTGAAGCGCCGCAACATGACGGTTAGTGCACATGTTGCAGTTACATATTGCAACGCATTTTAATGATGTACACCCTGCAGCCGCGTCTGCTTGCTAAAGGCAGAATCTTCTTTGCATAGCATGCTCGAAAAGTACCGAGAACAGGCAGCTTCTATTAGGTTTTGTTGTTGTTGCTGCATTTAATACGAGCTTGTTTGATGTTTCGAATTCTCGTTTCACAGCAGAACTCTTCCAGTTACTCGCTTAAGTTGGTTTCTTTTTTTTTGATTAGCCTTAGCTGCAACTAGAACCCGTTCCTTCATTTACCCATCTCTCTTCCTTTTTCTTTTGTGGTGTGGAATCGTGCAATTGTTTTAGCTTTTCCGCTGTCCATTTCCTTTCAGCTCTCTTCGCATCTAAGTCCAGCAGTGCGAGCGTGTGTGCAGTGGGTTTTGAAGTGCGTGGAGTTGGTTGGGGTTTGAGTTTCTTGTGCTTTTGTTGGAGGCTTGCAACACTGATATCAATGACAACTTATGCCCATATTTGCTTAATTCACATTCCAACCACAATCTCGCATTTTTATAGCCTTTTCCTAGATGTTGTATATGGTATACGCATACTCGTGTGCTTTCTTTGATCTCTTATTGTGTTTGCCATATTTGGCAGTTGGTTATTTAGAAAATATTGTCTTTCTTTAGTAACGAGCTTGTAGACTCTTATAGGATGTTAGATAATTCACCTGTTGGGGTTATTGACTTCTCGTCGTCTGAATATAATATCATATAAGGTTGGTTGCAAGTGGTATACGAATGTGATCGGATTTTAAAAGTGAAAGATGGGTTCAAGAAATGTACACAGTTCTCATCAGTTCCCCGTAGAATGTTATGGTCTGCGAGGCCGTTTCTCAGAAATATTGACTTACAGTGAATTTTTTTTCTTATTTTTTTTTTGTGACGGTGTTCATGATACTTCCTCGGAGGCCAACCCTCCACCGGCGCATTTAGGACTGAAGGCCCATGGTGATACCGCTCTGTTGCACTTTTCACATTCTCAGATGCTGAACTGCCCATACAAGCCGTTGCTATGTGTTAGCAAGGTATTTCTAACGTATACTATTCAGAGCTTAGGGCAGTGACAGAGTTTGTGCTCGACACACTCTTTCTCTTCTACGTCTCTGCAGCTTCGATAAAAATTATTCCAAAAGTACCCAATTCTCCTACCCCGAAGTCCCATTAAACGGTGTCCAGCTAGTTTACCAGTAGTTATATTAATGGTGAACCGGTCTAGGAGGATTAGATTCCTTGATCCTTTAGCGTTCAACACAGGTCAAGGCTGCCTAGTCGCGTTTCAGTTTCTTTTGCTAAGTCATCTGGTTTTGGCTGTTTTGGATAGAGTGATATCTTCTATGGGTAGCTCATCCGCCACACAGTTGCCTGAGATGTCCATACGTCCGGGCATCCGGACCACGACTGTGTTGCATCAAGTTGAGAGCTTGTTACATTGAAGAGATCTGATAGCAGCAGCTTAGCTACCCGAGTATATACTGATTGTGTGGTTTGTAGCCAGGGTTTGCAGCAACCATTCTGTGGCTTCCCTGATTGTAATAAGTTCTGGTTGAAAGACGATGCTGCAGTCTAGTAGCTTCAAATTAAAATTGAACCGTTATATAATACAAAGCTTAATATTTAGACTTAGATGATGCTTGGCTATGGGTTTCAAGCGATTACATATGAAAAAATTTATGTAAAATCTATTCAAGTCCACATACTTTTGCCATACGTGCAAAAAAATGCAATTGCACTTCTAGCACCAACGACAGGTTTTGTGGAGAAACGTTTAATTTAGAATCTGCGGAAGAAAAATATGAGATTAATATTAATATATAGCAATTTGCGAAAGATGTAACATGTGGAGCTATTCCACAAATCCCAACAAGCAAATTCTATTCCCACAGCATAAACTTCATTACATAAATCCTTTTGATTGTGGTAAAGCGTAGGGAGGAAAAGTAAGAGGAACCGCGTGCAAAGTTCACAAGAACTCGGTAATACTAAACGATAGATAAAACAATAAATTCAATGCATGGGTAGAAACCATTGTTTCCAATAAAGCAAACAGCACAAAGGCGCTGCACACGATATAAACACATGCAATTGCTTGAGGAACTTAAAAGATATTCTTGAGGGAGCGCTGGGAGTTATAATGGGGAAGATGAGGATGAATTATAGCTTGTAAGCCAGTGACTAGTTAACCAATACCAATACCCAGTCAAAATAGTGCAAAACGCAACTACATACATGTATGTATATACTCTTATATACATACATATGTATTGTACACAAATAATAAGACAATGAGCCGGTTATGTGCGTAAGTAAAATAATTACGAAATTAGTTAATCCTTCATCATCTTGGGGCTGCTGCTGCTAACCTTCATGGCAAGAAGGGCAGAATTTCCTAGAATGTGCTTGGGCAAAATTTTAATTAATATCGTCGCCGTCAGTACGTAAAATAAACAAGTGCAAAAACTAAGAACCACCAACGGGTGGTATCTAGAAAACTGCAATGATTTCATTCTAATGTATGGCTGATATGAATTTGACACCGCAGCGACTAGACTTCGATTACTATCCTTAAGGGAAGAAGCTGGTCTAGAGCGCGAAAAATGGGCATATTTTATGAATTTATTTTGACTCAACAATCTGGAATGAATCAAAAATCTGTGAAATATATTAAATAATATAGGTTTCATGGTTCAAATACAAAACTTTTCGTGTGAAATAATTTCAAAATGGCCGCTGTCCAGCATTTCTCCGAAGACGCATTTTTTCTAATGGGTCCATGACCGAAGATATAAACTTTTCAATTTTTGTTCTGGATCAAAAAATAAAATTTGTTTAGTTTCTATATAACAACAGCAAAAGACGTACGCAGGATTTTTTCGATATTTTGTTTTTTCGCGAAATGGTGCACGTTTGAACAAAAAGTTACAATTTTCACTATGAAAAACGATATAAAATTGTTGATTAAAAAAAACTATGTAATATAAAAAAAATCCTACGTACGTCTTGGGAGAACGGTATTTCGAATGTACTGTCGAAATTTCGTCAGAATCGGTAAGGTTTTGTTCGAGTTATGTCTTGGGCTAGTTTAAAAAAGTGATTTCGAGGAAGACGCGTTTAAAGTTGCAGGTCGCTCGGGGCATACCTGCGAGGCTGTCGAATGAAAAATTTGGGCATTTAGATATAATATATAGACATTTTAGCCGGCATCC